CTATGTGTGATCATCATGTACAACTACAAACCTCCTCCTTGATTAGTCTCGCATGGCCAGACTCCACCCCTTTTTGTCATTTGGGTAAGCGGGATGGAGAGTCTGGCTGCGTGAGACTACTCCTTGATATATTAATGAATAATTATGATTATTAACGATTCATGTGTATGCACTGCACATGCAGAGTGCCCAATAGCAAACTATTTATTCAACAGTTATTATACTTATAATTCTAAACAACAACTACACTGAGATATGCCTGTGAATAACACACTATAGTTGGAATATCATTACCAGTCAATAGTAATTGAGCCAGTATTGATGATAGAGTCACTGTACTTCATTCCAACTTGAGGCAACAAGATCAAAGTAAACACAAAATTTTAAACTGTTATCGTTGAAAGTTGTAAACTGTCAAAAGGTGCCGCACACAAACTGTTTACTGCCGGGAGTTACTGCCTTTAGTACCTTCCCTTCCTCACAAGTGACAATGACATAATCACTGGTACAGCTCATTCCTGTAGTCACTGCACAACTATAAGTCATGCAGTTATTGAGTGAGAGAATGCAGAGCTATGAAAGAAGAGAGAGTATCAGTGTACATATACATGAAGACTTACAAGTGATGATAGTCACTGGAGCAGCAACCAGAACCAGTTTAACATCTGGGTCAGTAAAGGTGTGGCGATTGCAGCTTATAGTGTTGTAGATCTATGGCATCTCATGAATAGTCAACATGACAGCATAAATGTATAATCATGAAAAGAAAATAAGAACTACTGTACAAAAAACTAATAACTACACTACAATAATGAAAGGATATTAAGTATACCATCTATATAGCTAGCTACAGTTTAGTCAATTATACTGTCATTTTAAAGACATTATGCCAGCAGCAGTACAGCCAGTATCAGAGCTACCAATACACTAACAGTAACTCCATTAGCAAGAACTGAAGCAGAGCCAGAAGGAGTTGGTCTGCTAGTTACTGAAGGAGTAACAGTGGAAGCAGCTATAAAATAATATGAATTAATTAACTATATATATATATTTACATGCATAGACATGTACCTCTGGAGCATTGCAATACTAGGTCCATTGTACCAGCTAAACACTGTTGGTTGGTTGATGATAAAGCATCACAATCATCAACAGTATTAGCAGTAAGAGGACAAGAGAAAGATGAATAATAGGCTGTACCTACTGGAGCAGTGCCATACACTGAAGAATCATGAGAAAGAATAACACCATCTAATGATGAAGATAAGTATCAAATACTGTAATGTTGTAATTCCATATACTTACTGTTGTCAAATCCCATTGATTGGCAAAATAAATTTAAAACTGCTGGGGTTTGAGATCCATCATTACGGAGAGAAGCATAGAATGCTCCATCAATACAGTAAATTGGTATACCAGATACTATCTCACGTCCATTGACTATTCTTGTGATGTTATTATGGAGATACAGTTTAGACCCATTACAAGGAACTGTAAATGAAAAAAATATTGTAATAGTAAAAATAATATTATTGATTTACTTCCAGGAGAGCATCTTAAAATAGTTTCCAACTGTCCAGTGTAACACTGTGGATTACTGGAAAATGATGGGTTATTATCACAATTTTCATCAGTGCCGGAACAAGTAAAGTTACTGAAATAAATTATCCCTTGGGGAGACCCACTGTACAGGGTCTGGGCAAGACTTGAATTTGAAGGAAGGAGATTACCAACTAAATAAAATAAATAAAAATCAGAATAAATGACTGGAGGGATTGATGTTAGCTTACATGCAAATCCAGCCCCTCTGCAGAAGATTGATCCATAAGGATAATTAGTGCCATCATTACATACCCTGGCATATGTTCCCCCAGCACAGAACTGTGGTATCCCAATGTAATAGCTAATGCCATTAAGTTCAACCATAGTTGTTTGATTGCTGAATAGAGTAAAATTATCAGAATCAGCACACACTGAAAAGAAATGAGAGAGTACTATTTGCAAGTGGTGAATGATCATGTATACCTTTCTGACATGTAAGAGTAGCATATCCATTAGGACTGCAGTCTCCATACATTGTGGTGTTTGTACAATTAGTTAATCCTGTACATTCAAACCCAGTGACTACTCTACCAAGATCTCTTGTTAAGTTAAGAGGAGGAACCACAACACCTGATGGTGCCCCTACAAACCCACCTGAACACCAAAAAAAAAATAAAAATGATACAATTTATTCTTACTTGATATTCCTAAACTATACAAGCATATTCTTGAGACATCAATATGACTTAATGAGACACCACTGCATACAGGAAGAAAGCTTCCATCCACACAAATGGTTGGAGGACCAGTCACTGTGAAGAGGCCAGGGCCATTTGATACATTGACATAATTGTTTAGACCAGTTTGACCAGGATAACATTCAGGGGTAACTATTGCATAAAAACAATAATCATATTAGATTTGCAACTTTAAAATGAACTTACTATAACTACACTGTATACTAAGCAGTCCACCACTAGCTGTACAGTTGCTCGTTTGACTCCCAGTACAAGAAGAGTAGCCATTGGAGCAGGAGACATTAGTGTAGCTGTAGTTATAATTCTCTGAAAAATACTCAAAAAAATCAGGGTAACCAATAGAACCGTTAACTGACACAAAACCTGTCAAGAGATGAAAGGGAGGTTTAGAATTTAATAATCTGTACCTGGTGGATAAATATCATTGAATATTGCTTGACAGTAGTTACCAGCAGTTTCATTAGATACTCCAACTGCACATACGTCACCTATTTGACCAGCAACAGAGACACCAACTACAAAGTAGATAATTTGAACAGGATCCTGCTGTTCAGATCCAGTGAAGTTGTAGAAAAGGTTATTATTAATTGGGCCATCACAGTAAACTTGACCTATAGAATAAGAATAATGACTCATAAATGAAGCAATAGGATATTACTCACAGCTAAAAGCCAAAAGAGCAGCTACAATACTAAAGAGTCCTTTCATGACTGCTTCAGTTGATGTGTCTTCTACTTCTGTACAAAAGTAGGCCTGCCTCTTACCTTGAACTGTAACTGAGTCACTCCACTCTAAAAGAAGTTAATGGACCCAGATCTTGACTTCCTAACTATCACAGTAGCAAGCACAATAATGATAAGAGGAACAAAACAGCAACTGATATGATATACATGTCTTTCAATAGTTAACTAACTATTAGCATAAATGCCCACGTGCAATCACGTGGAGGAGCCATCAGTTGCTATGACAACAGTTTTAGTAAAATGGCGGACAGAAGTTTGCAGGTATTTAGATCCATTTTTCTATCATTAATCAGCTTTTACTTTAGGTATCTTACGTGGAAGATGAATTTGCACCGGCACAAGTAAGTCTGATGAGTGAAGATATGTTTAAGAATGATTTTGTGATACTGCATGTATACATGTACATGTACATGTACATATGCATTTTCTTTTAGGAGGAGTTTGGTGAGTGGCAGCGAAGGTTTGATCAAGTCATTGAGGAATTGCCTGCTTACGGTCCAACTCTAGCAAAAATAAAAGTAATTGAAGTTATGATGTAGATATATATGTATTATATACATGCCATTTTGATGTATATACATGTATAATAATTGTTAATATCTTTTTCAGAAACAGTATGAGGCAGTTATTGGTTTTATAATTGACAGTAAGAGAGTTCGAGCATTAGTTCAACTTGACCGTGAGAAGAGAAAAAAGGACAAACAGTCAATATTGTAAATATTATTGAATTTTATTTGTTTATTTATTTAGTTTTGTGTGTAGAAATTTTAAGAGACGCAAGGCAGAGCTCGAAGAGAAAATATTGAAATTATCTTCAGAAAATAAAAGACTCAAAAAAGAAATAGATACTACAAAGTAATTACTGCAACTTGATCATCGGTACATGTACATATTGGGAGGTGTGGCTTTATTGGAAAGAACCATGGGCTATAATACAGGGATTTTTTCAGATTTTGGCCCATTTCTTAAAATGGCTGTAACTCAAAAAATTGAAGTCGGAATCAGCTCAAACTTTCTACACAGCATAAGGACATCAATATGTATCAGAAAATGTAATAAAAATTGGGGGTGATTTCGGAGCCATTTTTTGGAAAAAACCATGGGCTATAGTACAGGGATTTTTCAGATTTTGGCTGATTTCTTAAAATGGCTGTAACTCAAAAAATTGAAGTCGGAATCGGCTCAAACTTTCTACACAGCATAAGGACATCAATATGTATCAGAAAATGTAATAAAAATTGGGAGTGATTTTGGAGCCATTTTTTGGAAAAAACCATGGGCTATAGTACAGGGATTTTTTCAGATTTTGGCCCATTTCTTAAAATGGCTGTAACTCAAAAAATTGAAGTCGGAATCGGCTCAAACTTTCTACA